TGAGGTGGAAGGATCTCCGGAGCCCAGCAGGTTCGAGGCTGCGGTGGCTGGGAGCGGCCACTGCACTCCAGTCTGGGCAACAGAGTGAGACTCCAACTCAAAAAAAAAAAAAAAAAGAAACAGACTAGTCTTTTTCCATTTTTACATCTTTAAACAATATGTATTATCCATTCAACCGTGGGAGATGGTATAAGTATAGTGGCTTTGGGGTGAGTCTGGGTTTAAACTGTGGCACTACACACTGCGTGACCTGCTTGATCTCAAGGATTCAGCTGTTTTCTCTTCTGTAAGGTAGGGACTTCTACCACTATACACCAGAAACCATGCTAGAAGTTAGAAACAATATGTTAGTACTTCATAATCTAGCTGTACAGACAAGACTATTAATTCCTTCCAGCACAACAAACGTTAAAGCAAGTATTAAAAGGCACTATGAGATGAAGATATAACACACACCTCTGTGCAATGCATTTGGCAGGGAAGGGTAAGTTCTATTTCTAAGAGATGAAGGCCAAATTAGTTATAAAGTCTTAACTGGGAAAAAAAGCATACTGTGATTGACCAGAATGCACAAATAACTTCAAATTAAAGGGAAAGAAATATAAATTTAAAGAAGCTCCATAGACAATTCAATTGGGAACTGCTCTATAGTTTACTTACATATATGTAAGGCTATATTAAGAATAATTCAAATAAAGAACTGGCAATAATTAATGACTATTGTGAAATAAATTCTCTACCTAGGCAGCCCTATTACTTTGAAGCCTTTTTTTTTGGAGTTGGGGGAAAGGCCACTAATAATTAGTTAACTGCTTATTTTTTCATTTTATCTCTGTAATTACATTTCTCCCCCCCCCCCCTTTTTTTTGAGTCAAAGTCTCATTCTGTCACCCAGGCTGTAGTGCAGTGGTTCGCTCACAGCCTCAGCCTTCCAAATAGCTGGAACTACAGGCATATGCCACTATGCCCAGCTAATTATTTGGTTTATCGTAGAGATGAGATTTCGCCAAGTTGCCCAGGCTAGTCTCAAACCCATGGGCTCAGGCAATTCTCTTGCCTCACCTCCTTTTAAAGTGCCAGGATTACAGGCGTGAGCCACGTGCCCAGCTCTTTCTTTTTCTTCCTTTTGAGTCGGAGTCTCACTCTATCACCCAGGCTGGAGTGCAGTGGTTCACTCACAGCCACCACAGCCTCAACTTGCTGGGCTCAGGTGAACCTTCTGCTCAGCCTTCCAAGTAGTTGGAACCACAGGTGTGCATACCATGCCTGGCTAGCTTTTTATTTATTTTAATTTTTAATTTGTATTTATTGTACAGAAGTCTCACCAAGTTGTCCAGGCAAGTCTCGAATCCTTGTGCTCTCACCTCCACCTCCCAAAGCACTGGGATTACAGGTGTGAGCCATTGCGCCCTGCTACTTAACATTTTTCAACACCTTTTTTACTTTCACTTATTTCTAAATACTTAAATGCCACTGTGTGCTAGGCACTAAAAATAATGAACAAGATCTGTGCAGAAGTCTCCAAGTTTGTGAAAAAAGGTCCAGCAGGGAAGGCAACTAAAAGAGTAACACTGACTAATCATGCTTTTCATTTTTCAATGACTTTATTTAACCCACAGTTTGTATGTAGGGACAAAAGACATAAACATGTGCAGTTCCTTAAGAGAGAAAGAATCACTTAAGGTGAAAAACCTTAAAGCTATACCAGAAAACTTATTTAAGTTTTTTTGAGTCGGAGTCTCACTCTGTTGCCCAGGCTGGAGAGCAGTGGCATGCTCACGGCCACTGCAGCCTCAACCTGCTGGGCTCAGGCTATCCTTCCACTTCAGTCTCCCAAGTAGCTGGAACTACAGGCGCGTGCTACCATGTCCAGCTTATTTTTTATTTACTGAAGAAATGAGGTCTCACCAAGTTGTCCAGGCTGGTTTTGAACCCCTGGGCTCTGGCAATCCTCTCGCCTTGGCTTCCCAAAGTGCTTGGATTACAGACTAAGTCACCACGCCCAGCCGGTTATTTAAGTTTTTGAGGCAAGGTGTTGATAAATGCTACTAGAACTTATCTTTTTTAGTAGTAACTTCTGACTCCCTAAAGAATCTTGGGGTAACTCATGCTGAATTAGGAAGCTGCCTGGAAATAACAGCAGTCAAGCATCTCTTCCCCGAAGCTGAACATGAACTAGTCATAAAACAACTTTAAAGCTATTTATTAGAACCCACAAGTAATAGAAAGGCTACATAGCAGCAGTCCAGTGATCACTGGCCTAACGGTAGACCAAAAGGACCAGTGAGTGGCAAATGTTTCTGGTGAAATGCTGACTATAAGCTTTGAGAAAGGCATAAATGGTATACTCCTATTACATCTTCCAATGGTATAAAGCTTATTAAGATTTAAAAACAAACGAAAAAAGACAGGACTGGATGAAAGATCATATACAAAGGGGCTAACACTGTGGCTCAAAAAGTAAACTATGAAAGAACAGAACTCTGGTGGACTTTCTCCAAAGATGGTCTCGACCAATTCCCTGCCATCCCCCCTTCCTGTCAAGAGGTGGAATTTATCAACTTGCTGTGACCAACAGAAGCAGCAGTAATGATGGCTGCCCCATTCAGAACCCAACCCTTACAAGGTCTAGTGGCTTTCCCTTTTGCTCTCTTAAAGCCCTGAGCCAGTATGTAGGAAGTCAAACTACACTGCTGAAAAGGCCAAAGATATGCAAGTGAAGTCATCTTGTGAAGCATGTTTCAGTCCAAGTACTCCCAGAAAAACACAGCAATAAATGACTCCAGCCAATAACATGTGAGCAACTGCCCAGTAAGAGTCCAGCCAAGCTACAAAAAAGAGTAAATCCCTATTTTAAGTCACTAAATTTTGAATGGTTAC